GCTGCTGCTGCTGCTGCCTTTGCTGCTGCTTTGCTGCTGCTGCTGCTGCCTTTGCTGCTGCTGCTGCTTGGCTGCTGCTGCTGCTGCTGCTGCTTGGTAGCTGCTGCTGATGCTGCTGCTGCTTGGTGGCTCCTGCTGATGCTGCTGCTGCTTGGTAGCTGCTGCTGATGCTGCTGCTGCCTGGTAGCTGCTGCTGCCTGCTGCTGCTGCTGCTTGGTAGCTGATGCTGCTGTTGCTTGGTAGCTGCTGCTGGCTGCTGCTGCTTGGTAGCTGCTGCTGCTGCTTGGTAGCAGCTGCTGCTGCTGCTGCTGCTTGGTAGCTGCTGCTGCTGCTGCTGCTGCTTGGTAGCTGCTGCTGCTGCTGCTGCTGCTTGCTAGCTACTCCTGCTGCTGCTTCTGCTGCTGCTTGGTAGCTTCTGCTTGCTGCCGCTGCCGCTGCTGGTCACAGTTATTGTTGTTGTGGCTGTTGCTGCTGCTGCTGCTGCGGCGGTTGCTGGGGTGGTTGTGTGTTGCCATGTGTTGGCTGTGTTGGGGTCGTATTGGGGGGGCGCTGTTGGCACTCTCCTTTTCCCTTGGCCATGGCATGTTGCGATTCCCGGCCAGGCTTTTGCTGCCTAAAGAGCCCCAGCGTTGTTTATTTGCCTAGCTTTCGCCACCCCCCTCTGAGCCACAAGTCTAAATAGGGCGGAGATGCTCCATGTATATAACATATTTACCTATAGAGATCCCTTTTCAACCACCCCAATGTAATTAATATCCCATATACGTGGAATATTTAATTGGGCTATTTGGTTAAAAAAAATTGTGTACAAGTTCGTTTCGATTTACTCACTTGGGTCTATAGGGGTGATCCACGCCAAATGCTTCCTTGGACAAAGCTTCAGCGAAGCAGCGAGCCCAGTGCAGGGTAGATGGAAGCGGGCGACGGCCGGCTGGCATGTGCGTGTGTTTGCCCTCTGCTAGCCTGGTCATGTCTACCACTGGATGCAAAATCCAAACGCTATTCCGATACACATGTCTTGAAAGCCGCGGGTCGAGCGACTCCGTCATGGCCAAAGCTTCCATCGGCCCACGTTGTGATTCTGTCTTCATTGGCGTTCTGCGTTCCGACCCAAAGTGCTTATACCCGAGCTCATTGCTCCTGGAAAAAGGGGGGCGGCATTTGTTCGACCCTGCGGCGCATCTTGTTCGCGTCGGCGGCGTGATGGTCCCCCCAGTTTTTAAACAAAGGTCCGACCCGATTCGGGTGCCAGGAAAAGGGGTTCCCTTTTCGGCGCATGAAACACGATCCGAGTCCGGTCCCTTCGTCCGTCTGGTCTCCGGATCCGGTCCGAAAGCTCCCAACCGGGGTCGGTCGGTAGAGCAGCAGCACCAGAACAGACCCAGAAGGTGAAGACTGAGCGAAACAAACCACATCAAACCACCTTAAGCAAAGCCAGAACCAGTTGTCTCTCAACCTCTTCCATGAGAGTCGTTGCTCCAATCACCACTGCAGAAGTCGCCCCAAGGCAGGAACCTTGAGTCGCTCAGTTCGACCGTGAGGAATCGATCAATTTCCACTGTGAGAGGAACTTGCTTCACGACTTGGGGTCAACAAAAATGCACCTCTGAGTGGAATCCACCTGGCAATCCTGGTGGTTTCAACTCACAAAATATGAGTCAGTCGGTTTCGAAGGTTCTTTCGACGAGACTGGACCACCCCAGTCCCACCGAACCGAAACGGACTACCTTCGAGCGCTAGGGTTTGGCCAAAGGGTCACCAAAGACAATGGCCCCAGTAATCGCAGGGGTGCCCAAGATGAAGCCTGAGCACACCCTGACCCCAGATCCAAGAATGAGCCATTGGTCTTTTCCCTGTGGCTTCTTCTCACTGTAAGAGGAAGCTTCCGGGAACTGCTCCGGCTCAGCATCTTCTGGGTGTCCTGCTGCGCTGCGGGGTCGGGCCTGGCCCGTTCGGGCAGTTCAAATGGGTAAATCCCTCATGTATTTGGCTGGACCCTCAAAGTGTGCAGATTCTAAGAATTTGTACTAAGGACCTGTTTTTAAGAGGGTCATGTCCCATTTCCAGAGTCTGAGGCCTTTCTTTCGTCAAGGCTCCGAGTGTTGTTCAGGAAGGGTTTTAGCCACAATGCAGGGAGGTTGCTCGAGCCCTCAGAGGAGAAAGCAAGACACAGCCAAGATATGTCTTCTCGCAGCAAACATGGAGGAACCATGTCTCCCCCAATAGGTTGGAGGCCATTGCTATTAGGCTCCCCCCCCCATCCCCCCCCTCGCCCTCGTCCCCCCCTCTCTCTCCCTCCTCCCTGCGTGTTCGCAGTCCTTGGAGTTTCGTCCAGGAGCTGCTGCCGGGGGTGATCAACCAGATCGGCCCAGACCTTAGGACCTGAGACCATGCAAGACTGAGCTGAGGAAGGGGAGTCTTCTTCGGAAGACTCGGCCTGGAGCAGGGAACTCTGGCTACACCCCCCTTCTTGTTCTTTTTGGAAGACTCGTGAGAAGCCAGAGTTTCCACTTCCATGTGAGTCTTGAGTTTCCACAGTCAAGCACTCAAACTATATTGGTGTCACAGATCTTTGTCTTCGCTCCAATCCTGGGTGGCGTTCTAACGCGGCGCCGCGACCGCTCGCCGCGTTGACAGAACTGAAGGAAGCCTGGTTGTCTCTTCTTCGCGAACGCGAAGCAAAAATGCGTAGGGTTCGAGAAGCAAGTTTTGAGCTCCAAAAGGTGAAAGTTTATGAAAAGGTCAAGACCTCGAGGCAACACCTCTTGAGAGGTAGGATATGGTAGGGGGTGCTGGTCACCTTTCAAATACAGAGACAGACAGAGACAGAGCCATAGATAGCTTCATTAATCATGACTGAATGAAGCTATGAGTGAGGAACGACACCAAGAAACACCTCCATATTTGTTTCCAGTATTTTCTCCCACGCGTGCAAAGTCACAACCGTTCCCGGGTCATTTTGGGTGCTACAGCTTCAAAAGGGGACATCGGCCGATTCTGGTTACTAAAGTGGTGGATTCCACAGCTGGGATGGTTCTGCCGTCATGGATCGCCGTCCTTTGAAGGGCAGGGCAGCCCCATGCATCCATTGAGCATATTTCTAACACTACAAAGCAGGGATCCCTTTAAGAAGGTGATTGCATGAAAGGTCCAGTCGTACCGAACCGAGCCTCAGGCTCGGTGGCAGTGGATTTGTAGGGGAAGAACCCTGGAAGCGTTAGGCTCCTCATGGCCAAGCACCAGGGGTGAGGAAGTAGATTTCTCTGAGAAGCCTAAAACCCCACGAGAGTTCGCCACAACATGAACCTGATCAAAGAGGACAGCTAACTGTTTGTCTGGTTTGGAATATGTTGGAATACCCATCAAATGGGAGTAGCTGGTTACCAACACGTGTTGTTTGTTGGTGGAAAGCGGTTGAATCCATAGGGCGCCCGGAGGTCTGCTCCGGTCGTCTTGGCTCCAAGGTGCTGAGAATCTCATGAGCTTGAAGAGGATTGCCGAGGGCTTTGCAGGAAGTGGGGAGAGCTCAGACCGGGCGTTTCGCCTCGAAGGGAGACCAAACGGACAGCGGTATAGCACGGCTGCTTGAGGACTGGCCTGGCCCTGTTGAAGGCGCCCTCACTCGACCTCTTCGAACCCATTTCAGCAACGATTCGAACGACTGGGGAGACAGACGAAGACGAGCAACCAATGCTTGTTCACAAACGCTGATGCGAACCGGAAGACCCACGGCTGTCTCCAAACGGGGCGGCGGAGACAGCCACGGCTTCCTTAGTGATCTTAGTGGCTCTCCGGGTCTTTAGAACATGAGAATGGTTGTTGTGCCTTTTTGCCGTCGTTTCTTCGGTTTCACAATGGTGCTGCATGCAACAATTGTGGGTTCTACTCTCCCTTTTATGATTATTCTGGCAAATCGGATGCGGATGCCCTCAGACGTTGTACACATCGTCTTCCCAGCTGTGCTTGTCACGTTGTCACAGCGGTTGGTCGGCCGCTCCAGCTGGAGCCGAGACACGAGACGTGAAACGGATGGGGTTCCATGCTACAACTCCCAGCGAACGGCCACTTTCGTACAGTCATCTTCAGCATTTCTTAGTCATCCAAAAGTATCTTGCATGTCTTTCTAATTTTCAGTGGTTTCAGAGTAGATGGCACAAACCTGGAGATGTCTTTTAGATGGGGGATCCACATCACCTTCAATCGCGCTTTGGGGGATGGCGCGATTGATTCTCAAACCACGAGAGGGTGTTTCCGCCACTCATCCGTCCGAGCCATGGCTCGCCAATCCACCAACCGATCGCATCGGCGGGTCCATGACCGGTCCAACTAGGCAAACAGGTGCCTCCTTTGGGCTTGTTGAGGGTGCTGGTACCATCTCGTAGATGCTATGACCCACCTTCATCTTTCATTTAGTTCCTGGTGTGCCCTTTGTGAAGGCTGCACTAGCAGAATCTTTGCCATGTGCCATTTTTCCATGTGTTTCTTGCTGCCCAGGGTGCAGCAACACTGCGCATTTGCGCGTTTGCACCTGCTCCTTCATTTCCATCATGAGTATAGAGGTATCTCGGGGTATCGTTTGTCTTGCAGAGCCCGCGGAGAACGATCGTCTTTCATACGCATGCCATACGCGAGGTTAATAAGTGACCTGAACAAAAAGACCCGTCACCTACCAGGACACCCATACCGCAGAAGTTGTGAGGGCTCGAAGGCTTTAATCTCGCAAGACCTTTATGTAAACGCCGGGCGGCGTCATCAAGGCCCCATACTTCTGCTCCGGGCAACACTTTCCTAATCACAAGGTCAATTGCACGATTCATGCGTATCCAAGGAATTTTTTTGGGCCATTTACTGTATGAGCAGGTTTTCCTGGCGCAAGAATGCCTGGCCTTATCACACGCTCTGCCCACTTTGTCACCAACGGTAAAGCATTTACTTTTAATCGTGACATATCCTCTGGGGGTCAACCACACGCCAGAAACAATGCCAAATCTGCGTGCCCCGACTGTGGGTCCTAGTATGGGACACGTCACCTAAGCTTCTGCAACCTCTGCAGTGCTTTGGGACCGACCGCCGAAACCGTGTCAAGCGGTTCTCTTTGAGGCATGGACGAGAAGAAGGATGAGGAGCCGGGGTGAGAGTCTAGAGAGTCTTGGGCCTCTTGGTTTTCCCTAGCAACAAATATGGCTTGTGTAGGTGAAAATATGGTGTTTTTTTTCATAGTTTTTTTTTTTTCAGACATTTGGTGGTGCCTTAAAAAGTGCCAACTACTATATATCTGGGGGCCGCATTTGATCTATTTTTTAAAACGGACATTAAACTGCTCAGGGCCAAAAACTCACAATTCAGAAGTTCTTGAGATCTTTGTTCCCCCCATCTGCGCAACAAACCAAAAAACCTCCGCCTCGAGGACATCCCCGACATCGGCGAAAACTTCGAGGAAGTCAGTAAGCAGTGAAGGCGCTAAGCTCGCGTCGTTCGTGCGAACGCGAGCTTCGGACACGGTGAACGGATGGGCCTTAGTGATGGCCTAGTTCGGCCTAAGCCATGAATGTTAAATGATGAAAGTCTGGAAGCTGCCGAACGACTAAGGCCCGGTGCCGGGACGAAGTGTTGCACCTCCACCAAAGAATGTTTCAAACAAGTCCATCTGTACCTTTCTCCCAGTCTGTTTTGTTCTGACTCCTGAGAGGAAGATTGCTCAGAGAATGTGTGAAATTAATTTCCCTTTGGTTTGTTGGTGTGGGTGTTGGTGTGGCGAGGCAAAGCCTAAATCGGATTAATTTGGAGGAATTCCTGCATTGATTCTCGGATTTCAAACGATTCAATGAATATTCTTTATCCTGCAGGCATCATTTCCCTAAGAAATTCTCGTGAGGCCATGAAAAGAAGAATACAAATTTCAAAAAGGACAGAATACGAATCCGGCATACCAAAAAATCTGTAAGATAATGGAAGATATATAATATATCATAAATAAATTAAATATCTTCCATTATCTTCCATTATATTTAGTTCAATTATAAAATATAATTGAATTTACAATAATTAATTAATTGATTTATATTATTGTATATATATATATTTTTTTAAATAAATAACATATTTATTAACTTAATATATGTTTTAAATATATTTTTATAGGAAATATAATATATTTATTAAATATTGAATTTAAATGAATAAATCTATTTAGTTGCTAATGGGTAAATTTTTATTTATTTTTATTGGATTATATAAATATATGTATAGGATTTATTGGAAATTTATTGATTATCGACATATAGGATTTATATAGAATACAATATTTTTCTTTAAAAAAAAAAATAAGATGAAGGTGGTAAGTAGAGTGTGTGGTTGGTTTCGAGAGAAAATGGACGTCGAATTTTAAGTTTGGTAGTATTATGTGGTATTAGTTAAAATATGTAGATATTTTGGTAGGTTTTGAGGATTCGAACGAAACGATTAGGTGATTGATATATTTTAATAATTATATGTATATGTTAAATTGAAATGATATTTAATCGATTAATTTTATTTACTATATATATGGAAATTTAATTATTATTAAATTATAAGTATAATAAATATTTTAATAGATTAAACAAAATTATGATTGTATTTTAAATATATTAGTATATCGATTATTTCGATATATAATTGTCGATTTAAAGATTTTAGATGATGATTCGGAATATATAATTCTTTTTCTTTGGCGAATATAATATATATTTTTATATGATGTTTATTTATTTGATGATTTAAAAATTATGGAAATTTTATTGTTGTTGTGGTTATTATTATTATTATTTTGCTTTGGGGGAATGGTTTTATTGAAAGGAAATTATCCCGCAAAAGGCAAAAAAATAATTTAAGATTAGCGAAAATTATCCTTGCCTTATTTGATTTTAAACCCATTATGAATATATTTATGTGATCTGCTACCATAATGATTCTTGCAATTTTGATTTTTGCTGACACTTAGGAGAAACAAAAGAGACGTATAGGGTCAACAATTAAATAGAAGATATATATTAACAAACAATGAAATTTCTATATTTGTTTGACAATCAAGAAGAAACTATTAACGTAAACAAAATTCAATATACATGGCACACATAAATGTAACATATTTCGGCGAAAAATAAAATACAGTAGGAATGCGAAAATTTGACTATTGTTTTTTTGGCGAAAATAACGGGTCCCGAAAAAAGGAATTTAGATTAATTCCCATAAATATTAATTTGACAATATTGGCCTAACAAAAAATTACTTTATTTCGAATGATCCCCACCATGACATTTCAATCATTTGTCTTGATGCCATAGTGAGGAACATGTTGCCATGGTCGTGAGTATTGTAGTTCTCGATTTTGCTTGTGGGTCCTCGGGTTGTGTGCTGTGGTTGTGTATTGTGGTTGTGGTTGTGTGCTGTGTTGTGGTTGTGGTTGTGTTTGTGGTTGTGTGTTTGTGATTGTGTTTGTGGTTGTGTTTGTGGCTGTGTGTTTGTAGTTGTGGTTGTGGTTGTGTGTGTTTGTAGTTGTGTTTGTGGATGTGTTTGTGGTTGTGTGTGTTTGTAGTTGTGTTTGTGGTTGTGTTTGTGGTTGTGTGTTTGTGGTTGTGTGTTTGTGGTTGTGTGTTTGTGGT